AATGTATGTGTGCTCGCTTCGCTGCTTGTTTTCCGAAGGGGAATTGCTGTAACTGATTTAAATGGAGCAGCAGACAAGCAGCCGGGAGGGAGCACCTCTGGCAAGAGGAAACGTAATAATAATAAGAGGAGAAGGAAGCAAGGAACGATCCATTCAGAGCAGTCATCATCTTAGTCGATAGCATATTAACTACATCAACTCAATCATAATCAGGGAAGAAGCAGAGCCAAGAACTGGGTAAACTTACCGGGGGAAAATGAAGTTTCCTCTGAGAATTTTCCGCTTAGTCACACGCATCATCTGTCAGTCTGCCACGCCTCCGAGTCCCGGCTCCCGACTCCAACTCCTCCGGCAAGTGACAAATTGAGCAGTTGGCATTGTCTCCGGAACCGAAAGGAGCTGATGAGATGTGATGCCGCCAGGAGATGAGCAGAAGATGAGCCCTGAATGGATGGATGGGGTGGAGGGGGAAAACTTTTCAATTACTCGCAAGGAGCAGGACCGAAGGCGGAGTCTGAGCAGTAATGAATAATAATCTGTACTCCCTGTGGCCCCCGGCCCTGGCTCCGTTTCATCATTAGAGGGAATCCTTGGAGAGACACGTTCCCCGGCTTTTCCTTGAACAATTTCAGGCTGGCACAATATTTACTCTGCTCCGGCTCCTGCTGAGCTCACTCGGGGTCGGTCTCCGGGTCGGTCATTCTCCTGCAATTAAAAGGACATCGATGTTCTGCCCTGTGGCCTCCGCCTCGTTTCAATTACAAAGTGGCTTTCATTTCTAATTGAATCGTGATTCCGATTCGTACTTTATTCCGGCGCTGAGCACTCTATTTTGTTTGCCTTTAGTTTTCCTTGTTGACCAACTCAAATTGCTGCCAAAAGGTCATGAACTCTGATTGGGTTAATGTTTATTTAATATTAAGTGCTGGTCGCCTAAAGAACTCTGGATTTCAGGGGAGTTCTGATATAATTACCAGAGTTTTTGCTTTAAAACTCTTTAATATTCATAAATTTATATCAAGTATTGATTATTAACATTTGTGCTTTTGTGAATTTTATATGGACCCTTATTTTTACGGTTAAATGATCTTCAATGGCCATTCGTTCATTGATAACATTTTAAAATATTATAGAGCCCCAACCCTAACCCTGATAGAAATCTTTTTCTGTAAAAACAAGCTGGGCTGCCCAACGCCAACACCTAACAAAAATTAATTGTCTGAACAAATTAGCTGGGGGAACAACAAAAATATATACATTTTCCTCATTTCCCCGCTTTCCACGCCACCAGGCAGGCATTCGCAATCATTTTCCATTTACATGGACAACAAAAGCGAATGTCGCTCGTTATTTTTAATCAGCTATCAAAATTTATTGCTGAAAATTTGTCTGTCGGTGCTCGGAGCTTGGTCGGTGGGCAGGTGTTATTTCGGCCAGCGTCCGTTCGCATTACAGGTTCATTAAAATCGGGGCCCAGCGAAATATTTTACGCGAATTTAATAAACTCGGGGAATTGGGCAGACGCATTAAAGCTAATGTTTCCATTTCCCAGCTCTATTCAGCTGATAGGGGATGTGTTAGTTGAGTGTCCTGGGTATCAGCGTGGCCAGCATGAATATTTAATGGGAAACCAGGCTCCAGGATGGTATCGCAACGGAAAGAGGATGTTTTTTCTCGAACGAAATAAGGCATAATCATTGATTTATGACGAAGCAAAGGCAAAGTTTTCTCCCTTTTTTGTGTTAGTTGTGGTAAAAAACCTTTGAGAACCTTGACTAATCTGGGCATATTTTGCTCCCAGAAATCATAGCATACATTTAAGGGCCCGACATAATTCAAGTGCCCGGATTATTGTTCCGTTGCCGTCGCCGGATCCTTGGCTGTTGTTGTTATGTCGAAAGCACTTAGTGGTCATTCAATCAACGAGCCCCTAAGTGAAGAAAGTGGACTTGGTCCCGTCGATAGGAGGACGGGTCTCCGTCGCTGGAAAGTGTTCGAGCGGAACATCAAATTTGCATAATATTCTTTTATGGCTTACGCTCTGCGGTCGTGGGGGAAGCAGGAAACTTGAGAAGGACGGAGGGTGGGGCCTGTTTTGAGGGCTCGTTGGCTGGCATTTATTGAGTGGCTCTTAATCCCTGGCATATTTCAATTAGTGTCAACTTTTTGATTTTATGTAAACACAAGTGGAGCCCCAACTTCCTGTACACCCTTCTTCGCTTCCCTCCACTTTGCTGTTATTCTAATCAGAGCAGGACACACATACACACCCTCGAATTACATACCGACACATGAGTGCTGGTCACGCAATCCTGCGGTTGTGCGCCTGTGTTAGGGTTACAGCACCACACGGCGTATGTGTGATTTTTGTGTGGTCGAAGGCCTCGATTGCAGCCATTTGCGGCTAAGGTCAAAGGATTATATATTTTGCGAATCGCTTTAAGGCATGCAGATGTTCTTGATTTTAAGTTTAAGCTTGTGTATATCCGAAACTAAAGACTTTTCACAGAATAATCAAAGAATGGTGCAGGGGAATATGTATAAGCAATAACTGAAACAGTAACTGGATTTATTTAAGCTTTGCATATTTCTCTGAAAATAAACAAGGAAAAGTTGGAGTATTTTTTATGAACATTTTTCAACGGAAAGTCCTTGGCTTTTATTTTGAATAGCAATGAATGCGTAAAACAGTAAGTGAAAAGCTTAGCAGTAACATTGGTTGAGTTACATTTTAAACCCTTCATTATTTTGTTCTTCATTTATATTTGTTGTATTTATTTATATATTAATACTCTTTCTCTTTATGTATTAAACCCTCCTTAAGACATCCTTATCAGGTTCCTATATGTGGAATTTAAGATAAAATCCCTCTCTTTTTATGTAGATAAAATGATATATAACCAACCCTAACTTCGATTTAGAGGACAATCCTGTTTTCCCGTCTCAATAGACAACCATTGCATTATAGAGTGCAAATATTTGCCTTGTTCCCCAGCTCCTTGCTGCCTATAAAAGGATATGTGGGGAGGTGTCAGGGTGCTCCGGCAACCCTTTGCCAAAGCAATCAACTCAAACTGCTGACAAGTAATGCGGGAACAACTCTCGCTGGCATTTCTCGATGGGGATTCCCATATCAAAGGTGTTTCATTACACAAAAGTAAGCGACATCTGGCATCTGACCCGCTGCTACCTTCATCAGCGGGCGAAAACCTCACCTCCGGGCATTTACAGCACTTTCAGCGGGGACTTAAAGGTGGCCTGACATGGACGTGAACACGGCAAGCACGGATGTTGTCAAAGGTCCGGAAGCCAAGCCCATCTCCGAACAGACCACAGGCTCGTCAGCCGCCGGTTGTCCGACTGTCGTTTGTTTACATAACATCAGCCAGGAGTCGGGTCGGAGGAGACCGGAAACCGAAAGGTATTCCGACTGCGTCTCCGACTTCTGTGTGGGCACATGCGCAGTGTCTATGTGCCGTATCCTCTGGTCTGTCCTGTCTGCAACTGTTGCTTCCCTTTTTCTGATTGCACTGGCAACTGACACTAATCCAATCTGGTCGAATCAGCAGCGGAAAGGGAATCTCCTGTCCAGTCCCAATTGGTGCCACTAATTGCGAGCAGTTCACAAAGGCGCTGCGGCGCCAATGGATTTAATTTGCAGTCTCGCAAATTGCACAACTTGGTTAAAACAATTGTCGGCAGTTAAATTCTGTAAATGCCAGTCGAAGGGAGAATTCAATTACACTTGGCAGACGTCAAAGCAATAAAAAGTTATCGAAGCGAAACAGTTGGACATGATCCCGAGAATCCTTCAAAATGTAATCAAATTTTAAGAGCTTTTCATAGAGCACGTGCCTCTAGAGGGGCCATTTAAACCGTCACCAAGTAAAATGACTGTGATAAAGCCGCGTTTTTACAGGAACACCGGCTGATAACAGACCGCTAATCCTTCAGACTTGAACTTATCAGCGAAGCAAACACACATCCCCATTTAAACTTTCAACCCCTTTCCTCCCAGCACAACTTCACACAGATTTATCCCGTAATGAGTTCTAGGAAAAACATCCTAGAAGGAAAAAAAGAAAATAAAGCCAAAGCCAGTTGCAACCCTCAATGCAGCAAATGACAGTCTAAGGAACACAGAAAAAGTGTAAGAACACTAAATAGTTGCAGGACTTGCGGGAAGCGGGATAAGCAGGAGAAAGCGACAGCAGAGTGCTAAAGTTCACACCAATTTCCCCCCTGAAAAAGGGTGAAAAAGGATAATAAAGCGGATGAAAGAACAAATATGCGTTGATCTGTGGCAAGGACTTAACAATGGACATATATAAAATACAGTATAAAGCGAAAAAAAAACAATCAAATTGCAATAAAAGAAAGCACAGCGAGTGAAAGCTAAGGGAAATGGACTCCCCCCTAATGCGGCAAGTAAACAAAATGGGCACGTGACCAAAAGGGGAACTCACAGAGGGATGGACACGGACACACTCAAGGATATGGCCAAAGTTGCCGACTGGCCAACAAATTGCCGCACGAAAGTAATCCTGACAGCCTGCAGATTGTTGCGCCATCATAAAGCCCAGTAGGAGACTCGGCGCCAGGAGCCGAGAATAAGGAAGCACTTCTTCGGCATCTGGACAGGCGGACATGTGAGGGGAGCAGCAGGGACATTGTGCATTATTCTCACCAGAAATGACCAGCACTGGCCGCCATCGCCATCGCTTCACATCCTTGAGACTCGAGAATGCAACTGCAGCACTCTTGAATGGCTGTCAAATCAAACATCCTGCGGAGCTATCTGGAGTGGAAGTGGCGAGGCTCAGATGAGAGATGAGAGTGCGGCATGCCCATCCTTCATTTCCGCTGTGCAACTGCCATATTTTCTGAGCCATTTAAAGACTTAACTATAGAGATTTTAAGTAAATCGAAGCACTTGCGTTATAACAATAAATAAAAGGTGTCTATTGATCAACGTTCTTCTCAAAATTGCTTTTTAATTGTTATCGAATCGGGCGAAACTCTGGTTTTAACTTTTCGAAGATTTTTCTGCCCAGGGCAAGGGAACTCTGAGTAGAGTTCGCCGGCATCTGGCGCTGTTCAAACACTATGATGGGCCGATGCCAGAGGAGCTTCTTGTCTGAAAGGGATATGGGTTGCAGCTGGTTGCTTTCCACCTCCTCCATGAAGATCTCCAGACCCCTGTCCTCTTGGCACATTTGGCGAACCCGCACCTCGAGGGCATTGGGCTCAACGCCGGGCCGGTAGGCAACCAAATATCGGCTATCATTCCAGTCATTGTAGAACCTCGTCTGGCAACCCAACCTCTTGGCCAGTTCCTGGGCAATGGTCTCCTGCAGAGGGTCCATTGGTTTAAAGTCTATGAATCGGCGGCGGCTGCCGAGGAGCCTACGCAGTCGTCGTAGCAGAACGTCTGCATTGCGAACGAGGACGGACAACTCCGATCTTGGGAGCATCTTGGACTCCTTAGGACTCGTCCTGGCATGAATGGAGCAGACCAGCTTGCGGAGATTGAGTTTGGAAGGCAGTGGCTCGGGCAAGAGAATTGTATAGTTGTGCTCAGACAGGATGCGCGGCGACAGGTCGCATAAAGGTCTGGCGGACTCTCCCTTAACACCTGATGGAGAATATAGTTGTTCAAAATGTGCGTTCTCGTTCTCCATTACCTCACCACGCGTGATGTTCTCTGCATCGCCCAGTGGCTTTTCCAATTGCTCGCCCGACATTTTTAAACACTTCTCCACTTTAACTCAGTTGCGAGAGCTGCCAGCCTTGAAGTTGTTGAGAATTCTCCAAAGTCTGAGCAAATTCCTGACAACCAACTCGAGAAATTCCAGCTGAGCAAAGTTGCAATTTGAATTTAATAGAGAACTTTCTCCAGCCCGAGCTGAATTGGGTTAATTTAAGCGATTGACAGCTAGGAATGACAACACACAGAGTTGCTCCGAGTGAGCAAGTTTCTGCAGCAGAGTTGAGCCAAACCCATGTTGGCAAGGTGACAACCCACAAAATAGTGTTGGATTACTGATGTCTGACATATTAGTTGTTAAAAAGTAAAATGTTTTTGTCCATAATTTATTAATTTTATCAATAATTTAAACTTTTAGCTTTAAGTACGAACCAGAAAAAAGAAACTCAATATGCAGATTCGGCTTTATGGCCCAATTCCACACACAATCCGGATGTTATTATGGCCCCGCCAGCTGAAATCAAAGTTTTAGTGCCCCGAAAAAGTCAGTCCTGGAACTTTCTGGCCATTTTCCCATGCAAAACAGAGCCTCCGGAGTGTCAGAGTTGACGGGAAACTTTCATGGAAGGAGACTCCGGAAGATGAGCCAACCACACGAGCAACGGTCATCAAGAAGCAGCCAGGAGTTGGAAGCCAACCAGGATCCTTTATATAGCGAATGGAGAAGAAAAGGCAAACTGCTTTGGTGAAAGGTTTTATTGCTCCTAGCCGCCTGGATATGTCTCCACTCCGAATTGGGTGCTTCGGCAGGACAGGGGATGAGGGATGAGGGATGTGGCCAGGATAGGGGAGCAGCCCGCCGAGAAATTGTACTAAAGTAAATGAAGCGTGACGCTTTGTTTTTCTTTGATTTAGTTTTATGAGTCTGCATCGGATGTAATTGAATTATGCAAGTTGGCGCCGACGGCAGACGACTTTATTAGCATTCGATACTAAAAGGGGGAAAAGGGGAGGCTGATGATGACACGGATGATGGAGAACTCCAGGAGGCTGGCTACAGCTACAGGATACAGGATACTCTGACAAGGTTACGCTTTTTAGCAGTGACATTTGAATTTCAGATGATACCGCACAACTCGCGGTGAAATGGGTTGGAAAATATGAGGATGAAGCCACGATACATCCCTCCGAGCTGCTGGAGCAGCCACATCCAGTGATAAGCAGCTCAATGAATGCACGAAGCGATGACAACAGGATAGAATCCATAATGAAATGACAATTTGCAGGCGGACAAAGCATTCCGCAGCCTAATTGACACCAAAGGATGTCCGGGTGCAGGACGGATTTGAAAAATTGGAAATCAAAGCTGAAACTAGATTCCAGTAAGGAAATAGCAACAAGGTTCAGACTAGTCCTCTGGAGAGCCAGGATAAGGGACGAGAAATCGATTTGTCAACTGCCTTAGAGCATTTGCAGCGGATTCAGTTTCGATATTGCAAGCCAATAATTAATATGTGAGTCGCCATGGCGCCAGGATAACCCCGCTGCAGATGTCCTAGCAGGTAGGAGGGGCAATCTGTCAGCTCAGTGCGGGTTTCGTCTGTCAAAAATGCAGAGCGAGAGAGGCAGTGCATCCCAGAACTGACAGGGACTGCCAGCGTCCGATTACAGTTTCATGAACAATCGAACGAGGAGGCTGGGTGGAACAGAGTGGGGGAGGACAGATCCCGGACAGAAACCAATGACAAACTGAAATCAAAAGCAGTCCTTATTCTGCTTTCGGGCTGCCGCAATCGGAGAAGTGCAAGGACACTGCGACTGAGAGTGGCATGTGTCCTGTCGAGTTGGGTTGTGCCGTGTCCGACAAGGACTAAGCTGATTCAGGCAATCCAGGGAAAGTGGCATTGGTGACTCACGCATCGCCACGCAGGTTTACAACTGCCGGATGATATCGTAATTCGCACCAACAGGAGAGGAGGGAGGAGATGGTCATCGATTGCTGCAGTCATCAAGGAGGGAACAATGCACTTAACCAGACCCGGAGGAGATGCTATCCGCACTGGCCTGCTTCACCCCGCCAGCTCCTAGGAAAAGTTCTCCTCCACGTAGAAAAGTTGCCTAAAAATGCTCACGTCCTCGGCACGTGACCGAAATGTTTGGCCATAAACAAGGAAAATATGAAAATGAAGAGGCGAACTCAGCAAATAAAGGGAGGATACGAGGAAATAAGGAGGAAGTTGGGAGTCGGTAATCGGGCTGATATATTTATCCTGCTGAAACTTCGCACGAAGCCTCTTCAAAAATTCATCAAGGAGACGCGCTCAAGTCGACTTCAGCTGAGTTGAGTTCGTGGGTCGTCCTTCGTCCCACTCCCTCGATTCCTTGCTCCTGCGGGCGTGGACATTAACCCCAATTGGCTAAATGGCTCATTAGGTCAGTGGGGGAGTCCTTTCTTGGCTCGCTTCAATGGAAATGGAAACAGGAGCAACGCAAGCGAGTTGCACTGCTGCGTGGTCAGTTATAATTAGGGACATTCGCCTTCGGAGCTTTACGAGCGAGCGATTAAGCGAAAGGATACGGTGGTCATAGCTACCGTGGGAGTCCTAGGACAAGTCTAGTGCTAGGTCCTTCTGGGCTTAACTGACCCACTGTGTCCTCACTCCACGCTCGCCTCGCATTCAATATTATTAATTGACGACATGGATCCTAAGGAACTCGTAAACATATCGGTTACAGCCGGTTCATTCTCCAATTGGAAAGTGGCCAGAGCTGTGTTCGGGATGTTTGCTTAGGAGCTCCAAAGGGAGCGGCTATGGCTGAGCATAATGCCAACGAAAAGTGTATTCCCTGCAAGGGCTCTTCGGCGTTAGACAGTTGATTAATAGGCCATAAACCAAGCGATTATCATTCTAATTTCGGGAGGAGAGATGGGGCAAGGGACATTCCATCTGAGCCCTGTTGGAAGTCTCTCCCCTTTCTATGTTCGAGTACAAAACACCATTCAGGATTAGCCAGGATATGCGATGTTCCACTGTGCGGAGAGTGGTGGGTGATTGCCACTTGTTCGCTGGGGAACATTTCTGGTGGCTCGGGCTCCAATTCCGTTTGCCTGGGCAACGTTTACCGTTATGATTGCCGGTCCAAACTTCCTCCGCTCCTCTCCAGCTGGTGATTTTCCCTTGAAGTTGCCCCACAATCAAGGATACGTGGATGAGGGTTGGAGAGACGCCAGGCTGTAATTGCTTAATTTGATTACGTGCCGCCGTAAAAAGCAGAACAGGAAATTTGCACACACACAAGCTCCGTGCCGGGTAATGAAGTTAGGATGGATGCACGGACGGATGGATGGATGGATGGATGGTTGGATAGGTAAATGGGGAGTAACGGAGGCGAGCCCCAACCACAGTCTCGCAACTCGAAGCCTCCCCCAACGGAACCTGAGCGACTTTAAACTTTATCGCAGATGGCAAACAACTTAATTCGTGTTTCGGCTGAGCCTTTAGCCGCCTTCGCCCGAATGTCGCAGGCCATTTGCCATAAACAACAAACAAGGCAAGGAGCCTGGAGTGGGAATAATGGCGTCAAAGGATCGAATGGGAAATGGGAAACTGTTCGCGTCGGGCGATAATTAGAAGCGCCCAGTGCACGCTCAATTAGGAGCTTGTAGCCGCAACCCAGGAACCCAGGAGCCCGGATCATGGTGGGGAGAGTCCGGAACACGGAACATGGAAAGTCTCTCCCACACGGCTGCACTCTCCTCCGTGCTGCAGACACGCGATGATCCGGAGCGGAGTGACGGGGTCCTGAATGTCTTAATTAACTGTTGGCTGCACTCTGCGAAATCAACAGGCCATAAATGAGGGCAGAGGGGAGTTACCCAGCCGGAGCTGGAGTTATGGCCCGCTGTTTGCCTCTAAATAATGTCGAGGACGTCGTGCCTGATATTTATGATTCGCAATTATTCTACAACGTGTGGCGGCAAATCTCCGCCTACTCCTCGTGAAATTGCACTGGAGTTGGCTCTTAGAAGGGGTTTCCATACCAACTCCGGTGCGGATGGAGGCGGAGGCTCGTCTTATCTGATCCTGGATACACGGAGAGTGCATGAACGTAAACACGTCGCTCACACTCGCGTAAAAGGGCAACAGCAAATGAATTTGAGTTTCCCTCTTTTTTAAGGGAGTTTGTTCGGCTTTTAAATGGTTTATTTTTTTGGTTTTGTTTTTATTTTGGCGGCAGACGAAAGTGTTTGCCAGACAAATGGAGCCGGGGGAGGATTAGGGGCGAAGAGTATGGGGCTGGAGGCCCACTATTACATGTCACTTGGCCATAAAAAGTTTATGTCTGACATGAGCCAAAAACAATTTGCATATTTTTCCACTGGATAACAACTTAATTTAGGATATGCCCGGAGACATTCGAGGGGCTGCGTGGCCAACTGGAACGGAGCGGTAATTAAGCGGCGTTCCGGGGCATGGTTGGCCTTAAAGGGATCCGCTGCCAGTGGCACTCGGGCGGATGCGCGATTTTGGGGCCTTTTGCACCTTTGCAGCTCAGCGGGTGGCCTCGTCGTCGTCGTCGTCGCTGGATTGAAATTGCTTTTTGCACATTCCCCATCCACAGCACAGAGCTGTGCGAATTTTCTTTTCGCCCTTGCTTTATTCTTTATTCCCTTCTCTTGGCTTTCCCCACTGGCTGCTGCAGTGGAAATGCAATTTATTTGCTGTCGCGGGCATTAAACGCGCTGCGCTGACTTTTGACTGACGCCATATTTTCCGCCACATTTGCAATATTCGCACGAGCCGAACGCTTCCGCTTCCGCTGGAGCTGCTTCTGCTGCTGCTCCTGGGCCGCCGCCCTCTCGGCTTTCATTTTTCAAAACTGTCAGCTGCGCATATTTCACTTCCCAGTCGCTTTTCGGCATCGCACACTCCTCCTTGCTCGAGTTCCGCCCCAGCTCCTCCCTCCTCCCTCAGCTTTGTGCTTAGCCATCGAAGTGTGGAGCTAATGGCCAGAGCTGTGAAGTGCTCCTCGGTAACCCGAGCAATCCTGAAAGGAATCCATTTGGCCCCCGCCTGCAGGGGCTTTAATTACAAGGACACGTCGTGAGGTGGTGGAGGGCATCAAGGGAGGGAGAAAGCTGGCCAAGATTATGCAGCATTTTTTCATTAAGAGTGTCAGACGAAGCGATTCGTCTGCTCCTTGGTAGTCATCATCTTGCCGACGCCGCCCTGCGGCAGGAAATGCGACGGAAGGACCACGACTCTGACTACGAGGTCCTTTGTGCCGGAGATCCGGTTCAAAGGAGCTTG